GTAGGGAAGGAGAAAGACCACCATGGCTTAGTTCAGACCTGCTGGTCAAACTAAAAGATGAGACTGCAAGTTTGCTGACGATCGTAAGCTGGGTGGTGCAGTTGATGTGCCAGAGGGATGGAAGGCCATCCAGAGGAACCCAGACAGGATGGAGAGGTGGGCTCAGGTGAACCTCATGAGGTTCAACAAGACCAAGTGCAGGGTCCTTCACCTGGGCTGGGGCAACCAACATTACTGGCTTGGAGAGGACATGCTAGAGAGCAGTCCTTTGGGAAAAGACTTGTGGGTACTAGTCAATGAGAAGCTGGTCATGAGCCACCAATGCTCAGCGACAGCCCAGAAGGCCAATCAAATCCTGGGCTGCATCTAAAGAAGCGTGGCCAGCAGATGGAGAGAGGTGATCCTGACACTCTATTATGCCCTGGTAAGATCTCACCTGGAGTCCTGTGTCCAGCTCTGGAGGCCCCAGCACAAGAAGGACGTGGAAATGTTGGAGCATGTCCAGAGAGTCACAAAAATGATCAGAGGGCTGGAGCACCTCTTCTTTGAAGACAGGCTGAGAGTTGGGGTTGTTCAGCCTGGAGAAGAGGAAGCTCTGGGGAGACCTCAGAAGTTCTTCAATATGAGGGTGATAGATCCCTGGAATAGATTGCCCAGACAGGTGGTGGAGGCTCCATCCCTGGGGACATTCAAGATCAGGCTGGATGCAGCAATAACCAGCTTGATCTAGGTTGAAGATGTCCCTGCTTATAGCAGGGTGTTTAGACTAGATGACCTCCTGGAGGTCCCTTCCAACCCAAACATTCTATGATTGTAATAACTGATTCCAGCTGACACCAGTATCACCAGTGAAAATACTGGTCTGTTAAGTAGCATCACACGAGAAGGAAACAAAGCTTCTACCACTTGCCTTTGGATAAAGGCTGGTGTGCCCTATAATGCTTGGTTGCAATGTGTTGCATCAATCTTTTAAATACTAACAAGAAAGTATTTTATATACATATATATAAATACACTGCACAGATAACTGCTTAAGACAGTGTGTCCAACTCCCTCATTCTACTTGACTTCTCTACTGAAGGAGAAAAAACACAAAATTCAGTTTTTTTCCTTCATGAATCTGAGCAGCTCTAACCTTCTGGCAATTTAATATTACCTGAGTCCCATGGATTTTGTCCCTGTCAAAATGGAAGTGTGAGAGACTAAAAAAGGTGATATACAGAGTTAATTTTTATCCTTGAGTAAGAATGATCAAATGAAAGAGTAGCAGCATAGCAGGACAGAAATCTTAAGATTTAGAAACATGAGAGTATCAATGACACAGGCACTTGTAAAACCAGTACCCTTTAATAGGCACAGGCTCTTTGAGTTTCTATAAATAGCCAAAGCAATAAAAAAAACAAATAAATGGAAAAGGTAAACACTACTACTCCATGAATAGAGAAGGAAATGAACCACAGATAAAGACTAGAAATAATTTCCAGACCTTACTGTAAACCCCATGAGTGGCCAAGTACCAGACAAAATCTGTTCCCTATCTTAACAAAATGAGACTTTAATTTACAATTTCCTTTTTTGCAAGAACATTGAAAGAGTTCAGAAACAGTGACAGGAACATACAAGTGTTTTTAAAGTCAAGGCTGACCTGACTAGGCAGAGAATCATTTTGACCACTTAAGTGAAGATCAGAAATCCTGTTGCAGTTTGTAGTGTCAGAGCAGACTTAAAGATGGAATTTAAAAAATGTGTAGTTCAGCACGTAAAAAGTGCAACAAAGCTAAACACACACTAAAAGAGAAGCTGCAAAAGAAATGGGAACCACAAACTTTCTGAGAGTGCACTTGTATTCTTCTAGACAGGAATTCCCCCCCCTGCCCCCAAGTAAAGAAGATGAAGCACAGTGTACATTAGGATTACCTTAAAAACAAACAAACAAACAAAAAAATCAACAAACAAACACCAAAATACACCAAAATACTTGTTCCAGTATTTTATTACATAAAGTTGATTGTCCATTGGAAATTTTTCAGAGTGCAACCACGTTTTTTGTGTAGTATCATTGACAAACTGTTTCTTGTGAAAAGGACAGCTGGGTTAGAAACCTAACACTACTTTAGAAAACTTAGTTACGGCACTAGAACAGGGAAATCACTAAGCTGAGTGGAGAAAGGCAGCAGACATTCAGCTGTTATAAAAGATGATTTTCCATATACTTCTGCATAGTACTAAAAAAACAAAAGGAAATGATAGCTATAATCACTGCTCTACTTGTTGAAATTTGTTTTAAAGGCTGTATCTGAATTGCCTGTGTACGTAGAGCCAAAAATCTGTTATTGGAAGTCTGATGAGACTGAAATGTACAACACCCACACAGCAGAATCCAACATCTGCTGGGGTACCGTTAGAACATGAATGACCTTAAGTAACTTTTAGAAGATATTTACTTTTTTAATATCTCTCTATGTACATAAAAATGATATTGTGTTCATGCCTCTTAAATCATTACAAAATAACATCTGCTTACGTAACACTGCAGCAGGACAAGTCCTAGGGTCTCAAAGACTTACTAGTTTTAAAAGGGAACATAAGTTGTTTTAGAGTACAGTTAGGAACCATGGTACCAGCAAAAGCCTGGCTGGTGAGGAAATTCCTTCCAGATTGCCACATTCTACTTGCTACTGTTTTTCTTTATTCATAAATATGAAAAATGTAGAGGAGAAATGGAAAACAAAAAAAGCTAATTGAAGGCAATATTTTGTATTTTATATCAAAAAGTAACCTTCAAGTAATTTCTCCTACTAAAACCAAACAAACGAAACCACTAAACACTTTAAATAAGCTATGCGGCACAAAACATGCCTGCATTTGGCACAGGCAACTTAATGACTCAAAACAACCAAACAAAAAAAAAAAAAAAACACAAAAAACAACCCCAAACCCCCAGTCAATCATCTGGCTGAATTTCAACAAAGCTGCCCAGGGAAAAGACCCAACCCTACTGTAAATTTAGATTTATGAATGACTAAAACAAGTACCTATTCAAAAGCTGGACTATAGCTCCAGTGTAGTAATTGTTTCTCCTTGGCTAATTTGCTTTTGTATTATTTGTATGCTGTATTGCATTGCTGAATTATTTAGCCCATGACGAACCCAATTTCATCTAAAAAGGAATCATGGTTATGATTTGTAAAATTAGAAAAACTACAGAAACTGCATTTCCACGTATTTCTGAGCATAAGCCAAATCGTCATCTCTAAACAATGGCTTTAAGTTGTAAAAATGAAAAAACACACTAATATTTAATATGTACAGTTTCATCTGGCCTCTGTTTTATCTCTTTAGATAAGAAGCAATATTCTTAAAAAAAAAAAAAGGGAGGTGAAAACCCAGAACACTTGACAAAACTATAGATTAGTTATCAGACTAGTTACGGACTGCACATCTCTCCTCTATGCAATATCCAAACATCTACAAAGACTCTTCTCAACTCCACTACATATCTGGTTCAATAGTAGAAGATGAAAGTAATACAGTTAAACCTGAAGAAGCATACGATTTTCATTTTTCCACTCAAACAGGAACAGCCCTGTTTCATGAAGTGTGGCCAGAAAGGTTTCTTTAATCCTAAATTCATACAAATATAATTAAAATTAAATACAATTGATCATCTGGAACCTTCATCACCTTCTGTACAGAAACCAAAGATGAGCTAGGTTGTCTTGCAAGCATCTAACTAAATGCTTAATTATTTAAAAGGTTTTACTACTCAGTGAAACAGTAAGTTCAGTGACATCTTTTATTTTAGAACAAGCATGCAGAAAGTCACATTTCCCATTTTTGATACTGAAGTATTCCACAAGATCAACCATTATGGTTCAGTTAGGACCTTTTATCCAAAACAGTTGGATTTTAGCACCTTAAATAAAGTCAAAATAACATCTTAATAGTATCGAATGAAGACAGTTAATACTGTGCTCATCCTCTGGAAAATGATGTGGACCACATGTACTAGGTGCATTTAGTCCTTAACAGACAGTAAGGCAGAAGGGAAATAATTCTAAGAGAAGCATTTATCTGAATACAATCTGAATAATAACAAAACCTTCCCAATTATACAAAGTCTTTCAAGGAGAATTGTATCTGCTCCTGTACCTCAAACTTCATAGTCTTTAAATCAAGTGTTCATTTACAATCAAGCATGTCAGTCAGGAATCTGTACCCAAAAGAAAAAAAAAAAGTCTGGTTATCAAACACCAGTAAGTTACGTGTAACTCAAAGCTCTACTCTGTACTGTAACATGTTTTTTACAAAGATTTCAGCAAACCCTTAACCCACTGACACAAATTAATTTCAGAGTTAAAGCTATTTCTCCTTGCTCCCTGTCTGGGGCACACAATGTTTGCTTCCACAGGCACAGTTCTTTGGCAGCAGCAGCCACCTGAATGGCACGAACCCGAGTTTTCCTGTCAGCCCCACACTGCTCACAGGGGCCCTGTAATTCTGTTAACAGCCTGGCAACACTTCTGAGGGGTACAGAATCTCCTTCCTGTGCCGACTGCAAGTGCAATAGTTAAACATGTGCCTAGCTTCTACGCACTTCTGTGGGTTTCTGGGGACATAAAGAATGGGTTTCATTTTAAAGAAACAGGCAGTCTAAGCAGACATATCCTAAATACCATAATTCCAGGCATCTTGTGCCACTGTAACACTATTCTCTGCAATTTTAGGCATTTTTACCAACTAAGTCTAGCAAACTGGCTTCCAACAGGATCTTTTAGCACTGCACTCTGCTATCGAGCAGCAGCTATGAATTAATGACCAACATACATACTCTAGATGGACACAGCTACAGCAGATGAAGACTGGTGTATTCTGAGATTGTATTTCCTCTTTTCCACTGAAAATTAAGTTTGTGATGTTAGACACACAGATTTGTATGTTAATCTTAAACAAAACCATAAAAAATTACAAATTAGTCAGCCGCTGGTATTACACATTACCTTTCCTGTAACTAAACAAATGGCCCACATTATAAGTAAACTGGTGTATTTCGACATAGAAGTCTTTTAACCCAAATAATTTCTGCTTCCTTCCTTCCCCCCAGCCTGTAAAGCCTGGAATTGTATGGAAAATTAGTTTCTCTTCAAGGAACAACAGAGCAGCATTCAGGCTGGTGTATGCATCCATCATAGATCCTCTCTCTGTTTGGTTGCTCGGTTGTCCTCTTTGACACTATTAGATTTCTTGTCTGCATCTTTCTTCTTCTTTGCTTTTTCAGGTTTGGTTTTATTTTTCCCTTTCTCGCTTTCTTCTGCCCCTTTGCCAGGATAAACTTGACCTTCCAGAGTAACATCCGAACACCTGTCTTGATTTATCAAAAAGTCTTTGATCTCCCAGGCGTAGCTGCCATCACGTAACATGAAGATGGCACGATTTGAGCCAACAATAAACCTAGGGGAAAGACACTTTTTATCAGTTAGCTCTGCACCTTTCAAGCACTACCACATTTTGCTTCATCCAGAGCATCTCTGCAACTGAGGGCTACATTTAAGAGCAAGAAGCTGGTCATCTTGTTGCCTGGGGATGGTGACAGGAGAACAATTTTCTAGCACATGTAAGAATAATTTGTATTAAATTTACAACTAACGAAGGAGGAGAAAGAATATGAAGAAAACTTAAGTTCATCACTATGTAAAACCCACTAACAGGCATTAGATTTGCTTTATACACTGCAACTCTTCTCAGCCTCAATAAAAGAGAGCAACATTCCTCTGTTTCAAAATGATCCTCTCTCTCTGAGAGAAAAACCACATTTTCTAGCCAGGGGAACAAAAAGCCTTTTGTGGTGACAAGTCTTCCAAGTGTGGTGTTTTCCATCAAGCACATAAAGGCAAACTACTGCAGCTAAAACTGAATGGTATGAAACAAAAGGAATCCAGGCTATACATACATGGGCGTTACAAAAGATTTGTGCCCCACACCAGAATTTTGGTAGCGTGACTTTCAAACAAAGTGGCATATAAACTGCTATAAAGACATACTGACAGACATGGAGGTGAGGAAGGGCACAGGACAAACAGCTGAAAAGTTTTCAGGAAGAAAGAAACAAGGGTTCTGTAAAATCAAGAACCTTATCCTCGCCTTTAAGAGCTTACCTTTGCACATCATAGTTTGCATTGAAGAGACTGCCCTGCCACAAGCTAGTAATTTCTTCTGTCTCCTTTTCTGTGGGATTTCCCGACACCGTGACAAACATCATCAAAGTCTTCCCCTTTTTTGTCAGCTTCAAGATACTTTCAGGCTTGCTTGGATCAATTTTTGAGAAATCTATTGGTGCTGGAGGCCTCTTGTGTTCAGGAAGATCTCCCTCTTCAATGTCATCATCTTTCTGTTTGAAAAGGAAAAGGAAGCTTTAAACTCAACTCTCCCACAAAGCTATTCTTTTCTGAAACTTCCCACTGTGTAGAGAATAACTCTGCTTTGATAAAGCGAAAGCATTGTGGAGTTTAATGATGGGAGATGCTCAAATCAAGAGACATAGTGTGTTTTGTCTCAAGATACTTCACTGAGACTGTGCTTCCCATATAAAACCCTGCCCTCAAAATGATGCACATTTTCATACTGAAAGGTACAATCTTATTTTACCATCTACTGAGAAATATTTTAGCCACGAGGCTAATTCAATACAACTCCATCAAGGTACTTCATAAAAAAAACACTTTTTTTTTTTCTTCACAGTTTCACTGAAATAATAATTAAGTATGCAAGATGGATTGAGAAAGTTGCACTAGAAAGTCTCATAGACACACAAATAAAAAAGCCACATTAGCTGCATATTGCTTTCAGAGGTCAAGACTCACTTCTGGGAATCATGCGATCACCTGTGAATTTAATTTTCCTTACTTTCTGTCTTTAAATAAATAAAAAGACAAAACCTCAGAATTTCAATTCTCATGCCACAAGAAAACTTACTAAGGGTTTCATGACTTTTCTAATGCACAGATGAAGGGCAGCTCACACTCTGACAACATAATCACCAATACATGATGGTTAGAAACAGAAAAAAACCCCTCTTGATGCCTCTGCTGAGGCTGACAGGCATTTAAATATTTGGAAAGGCATAATTCAAACTGTGGGCCCTTAGAACAGCTCCTGACAGAGAGGAGTGGATATACTGACAACTTGCACTAGGCTAGAACTCTTTTTCTTAAATGGTATTTGTATCACAGAATTACAAAGAAGTAAAAAAGAACAGAAAAACATAGAAGCCCTATACTGGCATCTACCAAAGCCCTTGTAAATGAGGAGGAATTAAGGCAGCTATTTTAGGCTTTGTTTTTATTTGAAACACACAGTGAAAACATGCATCAATTCATTAGAAGCATGAACTGTAGCATTATCTAAAAAGTATTCCCTCCAGAAGCCTCAATGGTCAGGAGCCAAGCTTGTCGTTCAGATCTAAGTATGCATTCCCTTCCCATCCCTGCAAACTCAACAGCATCTTCTTACAACATCCACTACAGGGAGTGTCCTATATCCTTTAAAGGTTGAAATTTCATACAAGTGACCTATGCTCTTTTCCCATCTCAGTCACATCCAGTCTGCTCTTTTTCACAAGAGGCTTTAAATTTCAGTCACCACACAGTAGAAGCTGTAGAAATCTTAGATTTTATCCTTTCTTTCCTTATTAATTACCTATCTGTTTCAATTTTGCAAGCCTGAAGCATGCTTTCAAGAGGTTCCTATGCCACTGGACTAAATTCCACGTTAAGTGAACTGGGTGGAGCCTCAGGAAAATCCCCTTGCCCTCACTGAGCGGGGACAATCCTTATCTCAGAGAAGCTGGAAAATGCCCATATTGGTCACGTACAGCGAAAATACAAAATCTTACACGACTGAATGAAAAGTGCTTTTCAGAAGTAAAAGCAATTCAATCCTGATTTTAGTCCAGTTTGGCTAGCAGAAAACCAGCTATTTCATTTTTGAAAGGGAAAGGCAGAAACAAGTGCTTCCAAAAATGCCTTGCACACTGCAGAAAATTACTTTAGATAATATGTGTTAGCAGGCTGTGTTGTCACTAAATCCATTTTTCCCCTTAACTATTCAACTAAATGCCTACAAAGCTGTATTGTTAGAGTTTGATTGGAATTGTAAGTGGTCAAAAGCTCCGCTATATGCCACTTGTTGATCTTGACCAAACTACCAGGCAGTTTTGTACTTGTACAGTTATTTAAGAACTGAAAGACTAGAAAAGAACTGTCAGCTTTTCCTTTTAAACGTCTAGCACAGTTGTTCATTTTAAAAGTGTCACGAGGCTTTGTAGATACACATATACAGTAATAAATATCTATTCCTTCTCCTCCCCCCAGCTCTCTTTCTCACACATTGCTCATCAACGCACTGAATTTTTATTTTAAAAAAATATTAGCAACATATGTCACCTAGTTCTGCAGCCTGTCCAATAATCTGAGCTCAGAGTCAAGCCTGAGAAACCCTGAGCTAACAACAATAATGAACGGTTTTAAGAATATGACATTTCAGCTACAGAAAGATGCCCAGACCAGATTCTCAGTTCTGCTTCCAGCTCCCATGGAATTGAGGCTGCTGGGGAGTCCCTTTCCATGAAGGAAATCCCTAGGTGGCTTCCTCCACGCTCTAGTTGTGCAACAGAGCTGCTGAAGCAACTTCTCTTTTCCCCATTCTTGTTGTTCCCTAGATCACTTTCCCAGTTCACTGGGCAGTCAGGCACATGGCTGCACCAGCACGGTGCAAAGGGCAGTGCAAGAGCCTGAGAAGAGGGGCGGCTGCTGGAGCCACAGCCTCAGCCTCACCAAGCTTGTGGCTGAACACAGGGATGTTATAACCACCATCCTCCACTGCTTTTAGACTAATTAACTGGGAAATAAAAAAAAAAATTAGGAGTCATCTCACTTGGCTGAAAGTAGTGACACTTGATTCTGGACAGCCCTGTGCCCCTCGCTCCCAAGCATAATTCCTGCTCTTATTCAGATCCATAATGGCCCCTTTGTTTCTCAACCCACCCCATCAAGACCACTCATGGCCCTTTCTTCTCTACCCTCCAGCCACCCCCCCCTCAAGTCTTTCATGTTCCTTATATACGTCGTGACTTCCACCAGGCAAAATGCCATACAGCTGACCAGCCCCAAGACCAAACAACCGTGAATTGTTGAGCCTCTGCTTCAGTAACTTTCCTCTTCCTGGGCTCTGGCCATATGTGTATCTGCCCAGCAGCAATGCCAGCCCCAGCAGCCAACTCCCCAGCTGCTCAGCCGCATCTGCATGCAACATGGCTACAAGCATTGGTACAGCACATGGTCAGCTGGATCAGAGACCTGCTCCAGCTAAAGGAGAAAGCCTGAACTGCCTCCTGACGCTGCCTGCCATAGGGCCAGAACACAACATACAGCCAAAGAGTCACCACAGCAGTAACTTGAACCTCCCTTTCCTTCAGGCTGATCCAATCCACCTAATTCACACCTCAGAGATGCTCATCTTTTAAGATTTTTCCTACAACGCCTAATTTGGTTGAACTTGGCCAATATTACCATTTAAGCTTTGATTTCTTAGCAGCTTGGACCACCTGATCCTTGGCTAATTTATTACTAATGGAAAGGTGAACTCTGAGATTGTGATGTGATTTTAGTTGAAATTTTAACTCTGTTTTCTAAGACTCTGCTTTCCTAAAGAGAGACACATATGAACAGTCCACAAGAGGGACAAGTCCATAACCTGCCAAACTGCTCCAAGCCAGACAGCCTTACTTCTCGCAGAAGTTACTTATCTATATTGCACCTACAAATCCCACCTTGACTGTAAAGGGTGTTACAGGGAACAAAAGTTTTAATCCTATTATCTCCTCCAATTTTTGTGCAGAACATTCTGGGGAACAGCCCCATAGGAAAGAAAAAAGACACTGATGAGCACTCCGGAATTTGTCATGAGGTGGTAGAAGACAACAACAGAAAAGAAATGAACGGTTGCATGACAAGTACATGGAAAAAAGTGTGATGGGCAACTGTCAGAGCGAGCTGAGGCAGCAGGCTAATGGGGACGAAGGGGGACAAGAAAGAGCCTGAACTAGAAGTCGTTAGCACGAGCAGCGGTAAGGAAGGAAACGGCAAACCTAAAAAACAACCACAGAGCTACTCTGTGAACATGAAATGAGTATTTCTCCTGCTAGTGACCCTTTGGTCACAGACCGTATATCCCTTAATACACCAGTCAAACCAGGCTGTTGGCATGCACGGACAGCGTGTGTTTGGGCTCAGGCGCTGGACAAGGGACACAGGGCAGCCTGTGAGCTCCCAGGTGAGGGCAGCTCCCCCCGCAGCCCCTCCTGTGCCCGCTCGCCTCGATTCGTAC